CGGCAATCTATACTGCGTTCGCTCCTCCAGATGCAGTATGAGGTCTTATGGGCTAAATGCCTCTCTTACTAATTTGCGAAGACTCCAGTCTAGCGTCGTTCATTGTGAGGGTGGGATATCGCACGAGAGGGCACTTTCATTGTGTATGAGGGTTATGTATTCAGGTTCATGCGTGCCCGATCATCATAAAGACCCCTCTCATGGGAGTTACGTTTTCAATGTGAGTGCTACCGGGACAAAGTGGGCCCTGACTCTTGCATACCCTGGTTTAGTTTCAGGTATGATGGTAGGGGTTGCACAAGGGGATACGTTGCCGAGTGGCATATGGGGACCTGGACGTGAGAAGATCCTCTGTTCTCGTTAACCCAGCTACTAAGTGTAGTGTAGCATGGATATTGATGTGTGTCTTTTATTGTGCATGAGGGTTACTTCATGAGAGTTACTCAACTTTTACGGACTTTTTGTGCCGATAGTAAGGTGCTATCTGGAAATTCTTATAACGGTTGACCTTTTTGTCATTAGGCATTTTATGATATGATTCGTGTGCTAAATTGTAAATAAATATTGATATATTACTGCATAATCCACTTATACCTACACTATTGACCTCTGATTTGCGGAAATCGACAAATTCTAATCTTGCATTAAAGAACTAAAATTTTTATAAATCGCACTATAATTATTTTCTATCTATTGAATACGGAAGTGCATTATAGATTAACAACATAAATTGATAAAATCACGTCAATTTTAAACCAAACACGAGCCTTCCAATGTAAGAAAACTGGATAGGTATACAATCAGAATAGGTCGAATGCGGTTGACTATTAGAATATTGAATGCTTGAATATCAGTGATATGTTACATATAAAAGAAAGTCAGATTCCATTTGGAGAAAACATGTGCCATCATTTCTTGTTACTTATAATGGAATAGAAACACTACTTGCAGTAATAATGCATTCTTATGGTAACAATTATTTTAAAGCAAATAAAAGTGATGATAAAATATGAGTATAGCTTGGCCTCAAAGTAAGAAGGTCGTATACCTAATCACACTTGGCCAACTCCATTTGACTCGGGAATATTTACGTAATTCATTTAGAGAAGAAAATAACAGTAAAACAAAATTGAGTTGCCACTTCGCCACACTACTCGAATGGAAAATCGATCCAATTCCAATATAAACATCCATTGGCCCCAGAAAAAAATGCTGTATAAACCATGAAACTATGGTTTTTTAGACGCAAACTTCACTTTACATCGGTAAAAAGTTGGTACATACCTACTGATAAAAGGATATAGTGCATATCAAAATTGTCGTTGGACGATAGAAAAGGTAACGGGGGGTCGCATATCTTACTAAATTTATCAAATTGGTCAATACACCGCGGACGGAAAAGGTTTGTTAACCTCAGCAAAATAATTGTTCAAATATCAAAGTCAAAAACATGACACGCTCAGGGCTCTTACGATAAGGGTCACATCATGATGAAACTTTGGAACAACCTGGTAAACACAAAATGCAGAAGTTTCCAATACAATTGTGATGAACCTATGCTAATCTGAACATACCAATTTAGTCAAAACAGTCTAAGAAGATAAGTATAAAAAGGACATCATCTGGAAGCATGAAATGAAAGCATATGAGGAATTACGCAGTTTTTAAATGCCACGATAAGAGAGTCAAGGAACTGATGATAAAAAATGACCACATTTGACATCAAGAAATGTTTACGTTATATTTGTAAAATAGAGATACGATACCCATTCCGAAGTGCAAATGCCATGCCAAATTCAAAATCTTTCATAAAGCAGTCATAAACTGTTACCCGTACCTACAGCCTTTGGGCATAAGCCTATAGTCTATATCCAAAGAATACCATAGAATTAACTTATATGATGATTCTAAACATATCATTACAGGGGATGGGGTGGGGAATGGATACTTGCAAACGATATAATTTATCCAAATGCTATTTGTTTGAGAGATAATTGTTCAATTTTAAAACTTCATTTTGTACTTTCTCAATGAATGAATATATTGTCATAGGTTCAGCCATTAAATAACGTTTTTCACTCAACGGTTCAGCTAAAACATTATAAAAGGTAGAACCAGTTCAAAGGGCTTACGGTAAAACCATCTATTGAGTCTGGATTAATATTGCAATATAATATTAGTCTAACAGAACATTATTGTTTATTTAAATATCTACATTTTTGTAGATATAGGCTAATTTTCAATTTGAATTTACTATATATTTTAGTTGCCACACTTTCTCAGATTTACACATGATAAAAATGTTTTTTAATCCTATCAACAATTTACGTGATCCTAGCCTGGTACCATCGAAACGTGATTTAGATAAAGTAACGTAAACGACGTTGAATTTTCTATTGCAACATTAATTGCACACAAGAATTAAGTAAATTAGGGTGTTTGTCCAGTAATCTATGACCCTTAACATTACTTATTGTAAGAAAAATAACAACGAAATGAAGAAACAAAGCACGGTGATGCAAGTAGATCTAAAAACTGATTATTATTTATTTAATTGAATTCGTCACTAACTTTTCGCAAAAAGTTGTTATCTTCGTTTATTCGTTGTAATTTATTTATTTGTTGATAATAAAATGTCGCATTATTCAAAAAATTCCCCATTTCTAAAAGTTTTACCGACCTTTCGTGTAGGACGAAAGTCATGCTGTAGAAAATAGCAATATGCCGCAGAACTCCTTGATTTAATTTTGTTGGAGAAACCAATTTAGTTGGATTTTCTTTTTGTTACACGACCAGACTCGCTACGGGAGACCCCTCTACAGACCGTATTTTATTTTGCATTTGTGAAACTTATGAGCCAATTATTTATTAATCGATCATGCTCGATTGGGGGTTTGGTTAATTGGGGAATTTTACTTAAACATTTAATTTACCAAGAGTTTTGAGGCACGTAATTAATACTTTTGAATATTTGGGGGAATATTTTGTATTTGTGGAATACGCTATCCCATTGTGGAGACAGTTTGTAACGTTATTTTCCTTATTGTTTAAGATTCCGGATTCAAATTCCTTAATCCCTATTAATTGGGCTATTATTTAGTGTCCTTATACAATCTAGGTATCTGCTTACGTAATTCACTAGCTTAGATCTAAGTTAGTTTTATAGTCGAGTTCTTTTACCTTTACTTTTCGCCGTTATAGATTTGTTATTATACATTAGTTATTTGTGTCGCGGCTCGAGGTCGTGCAGTTTTCTTTAATTTCTTCGACGTACGCACTTCTTTGTATAAGACTAGATTCAACCATTGCTTGTAGAAGAATACACGCCATTACAGTTACTTGACAATTTTTTTCTGCCTTTTTTTTAGAATTTTCATTGGTACTGTAGCAGTTTAGTAAAGTTTTTCTCTTGTTACTTTGCTTTCGATGCTTCGCTGACGCATTTGCGGATATATGTTTCAGACCGTTTTTCAGCATGTAACAAAAAAATTACGCATTACCGTTGACTTTGAATAATTACTTTGTAGGTTTTTTACTTCTGGTTTACTATTTTTTTCATTATTACCTACCTACCGTATTAGATTTTGGATTTTCTCAATATTGCGCAAGAAATATCTGTTTGTGAAGGTTCACCGCCATCTTAACAAGTTAAGAACACCATTAATAGATGAGTTTCTACCTTACCGGTAGATCCAAGTGAAATTAATCACGAGCTACCAACATTACCTGTAACCAAATTACATGGAGTTCGTTGACCTACCCTTAGATAATTGTTCTTGAATTGCACTGCAAGTATCACTGTAACCGTTTTGGAGATTTACGATCTTGTAAATTGCTCCGATATACCCGATTTTACTTACGCTACGTGCTTCGCTACGAAGAATATACCGTCCGACAACCGATTGCTTTTGTTACTTGATAATCCATTTCTTTTAGTTCGATTACATTGTATCCTTCAGTCACGTTATGTGTTTTACTCCGAAGAATTTGATCATACTAGTTTATATACATTGCTGTTATATAGAGGTTTAGTTATTTGTGCATTGCAAAGTATTTTTCTTGAATTTAAGGTCGCGCTTATGCTTTCACACCTGATATTGTAGGAGAAACCCGTGGTCGATCTAAATTTTGCTCTTACTAGTGTAACGACATGTTATGTCCAGCGCGATTTACTACCCTTTTTATTTGATTGTTGTGTTATTGTGTGTTACAGATTTGCAGAACACGTCCTTCTTGAGCTCAACAAGGCTGTTGCGACCTATAGTTCAAAAGGTAATTTTGTTATTTTCGTCGATTCCTTGATTAACGTTTGATTACATACTGATTCTCGATACAATCAAGTTGCACATATTACATTTGCTTGAGATTCGTTTAAAGATTATAGCTCCGTTGTTGATATTTCTTCGGCTACGTGTTGATCCCCTGTACTTCTAAAAATGCCACACTCTACTAAAAATGAACTTAAATTCAAATATTGACATAGCAGATCTATGCGCGCTGATTCAAATTCGAGGGCCGCCATGGGGGTTTCGGAAACTGTAAGAGATAGGTAGGTAGTTTCAATTTGGCAAAGTTGGGTATTTCGATAGTTAACAAAATGGCGTTTTGAAATTAAAAAAAGAAGAAAATGGCGTCCATAAGAAAAAACAAAGTTGATGATGATTAAACGGAGACGAAACGTCAGACTTAAAATTTAAAACCAGCATCTTGTAGAGAGAAAAAGTGACAATAATAATGTGTCATTTATTTTGAAATATCTTTTTAAATAACATCAGTAAAAAAAGTACATAATCTCGGTTTCGGCGGCTGCCCCGCCTCACCTCGTTCACATTCACTACATTAGAAACATTTGTGGACATACGTCCAACCATTCTCCAAATTTTCATCGCAATCGGATAAACGGTTTATGTATATATTTAGGTAAGAATATAACCGAACATGGTTTTAGAAAATATTGTTGCCCCACTCAAGTATAATACCAAAGATCAATGAAAATACTCGTACAGCCTTCCACACAAGTTACTACAGTTACGAGGTTAGTGATTTTACCGCAATCGATACGTGACGTTACGAAAATGTCATTTCGTGCAATTGTTATTTGCGTCTTTTGGTGTTTTGTGACAGTTCGTTCTTGTAGATCTTCTGGAGAATTGTCCAACAGGATGAACGAATTGGGTGTTATTCCAGACGTAATTGACAAAAAACCTACAAATTATCTAACGGTAACGTACGCAAATAATGTGAAAGTGAATGAAGGAAACGAGTTAACACCGCCCCAAGCAAAAAGCGCGCCAGAACTCGAGTGGAATACCGACCCGGATAAACTTTACCTACTAGCTATGGTGGATCCGGACGCACCGAGTAGAAATAATCCAAAATTTCGCGAATGGCAACACTGGATTGTCGGTAATATTCCCGGTTGCGATGTAAAGAAAGGCGACGTCATATCGGAATATATTGGACCGAAACCGCCGCAAGGCACCGGTTTACACCGATACGTTCTGCTTGTGTACCAACAACCCCACGAAATTACGTTTGATGAGCCCAAATTGAGTAACGCCGGCGGTACTGGACGAGGGAAATTTTCCATTAAGAAGTTTGCGGCAAAGTATAATCTTGGCGAACCGATTGCCGGAAATTTTTATCAAGCTAAACAGAATTAGAACTGTATTTAGTAGATTAAACAGTTTGGTACTGATAGTTTAATTGTGTATGTTCATTTCTGTTTGCATTGTTTATTGCACAATAAATACCTATACAGTTTTACGATAATTTCACCGAATTAACTATCGAAACCATGCAATTTAATATGTAACGTAATGTACAGGGCGGTTCAAATTTGTGGCTCACCATCTTCGTAACGATGAGAGATGCATTAGCTGCAATGTGTTTCGACATGGCCGCCTACAGTCGCGCGGTCGATAATAAAAACATCTGCACGGCATAAACAAAAAGCAAATTAGTACATTATACTCGTATATCAAGGTAGAGAAGTACAGTATTATTGCCTGAGCATCAAGATTACCTACATCTCGAGGCGCTTGCGCCGAAGGGTGTAAGGTGCGAAGGCAATAATAGACTTCTCTACCGTGGTATATATACTATTTTTTTTACTACTAGCACTTGAAGTCCTCTAAATTAACATATTATATTTATAAGAAAGTGAACGGTTGGACAGAATTTTTTGTTACTTAATTTAACATGTTAATCAAGTGTGTAGAAGTACAAGTCAAACAGGCCGTATTTTGTTCTGTCATTGAGATATTTTCAAAGAGTAAATTTTTTCAAAATGTGATAATTTTAGGTATGTAATTTCTCTGGAAATGGCGGATGGTGGGAATTATTCATTTTAGAGAACTTGTCTAAACGTTCATTGAGCGAAATTTCGGGTTGTTTTCTAAAAGTGACAGCGTGACAGTTCTCATTATTGACTACTAGTTAATAATGTCCACATTATTAACCACTTTGAACAAATGCCGAGAAAGCCTACTTTACACGTGGAAAAAAGGTTAATAATCATGTCATCAAACGCTAGTAGTGAAAAAAAAAGCTTTGTTTGTCACCAAGCTATGCGAAAATTTGCTTCAACCCGCAGCATTGCATTTCATTGAGTATTACGAGTCCTTTCCTTCCATCGTCTAAGGCTACTTTCTTATTTCTTATGGACGCCAGGACAAACGCTGTACAGAAAAGTCCCCGATGGCATTTCTCTGAAACTTGTTCGCCACAGATACATTTGTGTGGAATGCATATACAGGGTCCTGCAATAATTGCGTCGGTTTTTCCTAGCCCATACGTCGTAAAAAATATTAAAAAAGTCTTTTATGCAAATGTCAACGATGGTTGCACATCTACAGAAATTATTTTTAAATATACAGTGTCCCATTTTTAATGGGTCGATTCCTTTAGGAATATTAAAATTACTCCAAACAAATTTAATATATGCAAATTGCTAAAGATAATCGACTACTACTTTGTACAAATTATCTCTACTTGGAAAAAGATCGCTATTTGCATCATACCGGTAACGTTATCTTCGTGATGAACGCAGGTAATTTATCAGGCCCAAACACTTTTCAACAGTATCCCGTTCTGTATTAGGCACTTAAGTCTAAAATGGTTTAAAAAGAAAGTTAAAACATTCTTATTGGCAAATGCCTTTTATAGTTACGAGGAATATTTGAGTGCAGTTGGAAATTGGAATTTGGAAGTTTAAGACGTGTTGTTTGTTTTATAATTATATCGTTTGTAATTTATATTTTATACTAACTATTATTGTGTTATGTTAGACTTTTTGTTATGGTTTATATATTATTAGATAATAATGACAACTGTAAATGCCTGTTTATGCATACTACAGGAAACTATTAAACAATAAACAACAAACAACAATAACTATGCAAAATTTTTCGGAAGAAAAGTTCGCATGGATCACGAATTTAAGAAAACCCGCTTCAATTTCGCGAAAGTAATATTCGAGATCGTGATTATGCAGTGGAATAAGCCAATGTTCCACTCTTTTGATAATATTTTGGCCCAATTTATTAACTAGGTCTTGTTGCAGGTAAATGTACTGATTATTTGTCTTTAAATTCGTTGTATGCGCTATTCATTTACCTCAACTTTGAGGAACTTACTTTTAACCAACCGTTATATTTGGCAATACGAAAAAATTCCTTGTTTATCACAATGAGTTTGAATGTCAGTTTATTTAATCCCGTTTTTGTTTGACAGTGCTTTTCCAACTCGAAAAAGTGCCTACGTGTACATTGTTGTCAATTACCGCTAACGACGCGATTGAAAAATAGAAACAACGTTCTTGTTTAGAATTTTTTAATAATCATAATAATAAGTTACATTTATTAGATTACCAGAAGTACAGAAGGAAAAAGATTAAACATTGAAATATATAATAAATTAAGTAATTAAATTAAAATAAAGACAAATGAATGTTCCGGAATCTAACGGGGCGAAGTTCAGTTCTGTGGCGAGAACCCCAGACCTGCCCTACCAATTAATCCCACCCTAAACTAATATAATAGAACAATAAGTGGAATGAACTTAAATGATATATTGACAAGGAGAGAGAGAGAGAGAGATCCGATAAATCAGGTGGTTCTAAATAAAGAAGAAGGGGAAGAAAAATAATCAATTGTTTTGCTCGTGTAGAAGTAAAAATAATTTGAATGAAATGCGCCTTTTTCTTTTTTTTAAATACGCGGGAATATTGTTATAAACACATTTTTTTCACTCAAAATAAAGCTGGTAAAACTTTATCGCTACTAGATAAACCACATTTTTATTTCCTGACTTACTTTTGTTCACGTTCACTGTGAAGCGGTATATGTGTGAATTTTGTTGAACGAAATACAAATTTAAAACCAAATTTTTGAAACGGCAAAGCAGCCACCTGTTTCAAGGGGCAGTATTTGAGAGAATGTGCCCGACGCCGATTTGAGTGTGAAGGAGAAGAGGAGACGATTTAAAAAATCCAGAAAATCATCGAGTTTCACAGAAATTATGGAGTTGTCATGTGCACGTTCCTGACCAAGTTCGAGAAAGTGCTAGAATCGATACCGTCTGAACTGCGAACGAATCTACCAACCGTAAAGATTAAAGAATAGGTAGAAGACAGTTTCAATTTTAATTGAATTCCTGAACAATATTAGCAATATTAAATGCACCAACAAAGTGATTAATTATGAAGAGAAACATGTCAATTTTTAACCCTCTTGGGTTTTTGACACCAACCACATTATTAGTTACAGTTACAGAAGTGAATTAGAAAGATGAAATGACAGAGAAAATCATAGTTCTGCACTGGATTCAATCAAATTCAGGGAAATGCAAACTTTATGTTAGTAGAGCGCCGGAAGGCATAACAAATGTAAAACCTCTGAATCATGATCGGTCAATGAATCTTCATAAAAACTGTTCGACTGCGTTATTAAAAGCTCAAATTATAAAACATCGAGGGAGGGGTTTCGACACGGACAAGCATTGCCATTCATCATTAGCTAATTATACAGTAATTGTGCAATACTTATGGAATAAAACGTACAAATATGAAATAAGTGCATTAAAAAGTGATAGGTATAAACACAGATTTCACTGTGTTACAAAATGTCAAGTAACAACTGTATCCATAACAGACTACCAACTCCGTTAGTTCAGTGGAGTGGAGTTCAGACTTTGATTACTACACTTTGACAATAACCTTGTGCTAGCTGCAACTTTGGATACCATGGTTTCAACACAGGCACACCCTTAGACAAGGAAAGAATATGGACGCATAATTCACTAGCGGTAGTGTTACCAGCTGCCACATATTGATATTGGCCAGTGTCGTAGCATCCGTAAATGCGAATAGTGGCAGAAGCACCTAATTATAGCTAATAAATCACGTTGAAGTTGAACATACGAATGAAATTCGTGCGTTGCGCTATTTATTAATCAGACACGGGGATAAACGAAACTTCCTCTCATCTTTTTTCGGAAATGCCTTCAAAACTAACTGTCCCTCCAGCTAAAGATTGTGATAAAATAAGAATCTTCATTGCTTTCTGTTTGATTTTTCACGTAAAGCCGTTTCCGTACCAATTTTCTCTTTGAAAAACGCGGAGTGCTAATGACTACGCCTATGGAGTTTATTGAATAATTCCATCCTTGAAGAAGTTTGTTATCAAATTTTGAATGCATGGGATTGGTTCTGTTGTAAGAAATTAAGTCAACTCGCTCATTAAGCTATGGATTTTAACATATTAAAAAAAGAATATTCAAAGAAAAAGCTTTATGAGGAAAAATAGGAAAATACGTGGTAACGGCATTAGGCACATTTTCAATATTTACGTTTGAAATGAAATTCCGGGTTCCTCCTTCTCACTCCGGCTTTTGCATCCACAATATGCACATTTCACCATGATTTTAAGTTGTTGTTTGTGTATTTCCTCTCAATTTAAGCGCAAAAACTCATAAAAAAAAGTTACTTTAATGACATATGTGCCACATATAAAATGGCGGACTTGTTTAAAAAGGTAACACGATTCATACACGGGCTGTACGGCATACGCGGTATCCATACTCTTTCCTAATCTAAGGGCACACCAGAGAACCAGGGCAAATGTTTACTTGGTAGCGATCTCATCACTCGATGTCTACGGCTTGACTGCCCTGAGTTTATAGGTTTTCAAAATAGCCCATCCTTATAAATGTTTTAGGAACCCCTTGACATTAAATTTATTTCTTATGCCATCTTAAAGGTCGACCTCTATCGGAATGTGATGATAACGACTCGTCGCTAATGTAAGCAATGAAATCATTGTAGACATTACAACCAGTCAGTGGTGAGGCAATGCAAATAGTATGCAAGTGGATACGGCGATGCAAGAGGTATTGTAATTACAGACCGTTTGTACATAATGACTAATAGAAAAATAGATTTTGCTTTGGATTGAGCGAACCGGCTACGTGTAGCTACGGTTTCCTATACAGTCAGAAGATTCTTCCGTGAGAAGTCGTTTTCATTTCAAAACAAGATTTGTCGAAGTGCTTACAGGCATTGCACGCACAATTGATCCCAAAACAGGACATTTCCCTACCGCCTCGGCTCTCGTTATAATAAGTTTGCTTATGTCACGAATGTGTCAATTGATCTTTAAAATCATTCACCTATTGTTTGTTGCTCCAAGATGTCCTGCTGCTGTAAATCTCCCAAAGAGCCATCGAACAACATGATCAAAATGGAAGTAGTTGCCGATGTGATTGATCAAAAACCAGCCCAGTGCCTAACTGCAACGTTCGCGAACAACGTAAAAGTGAATGACGGCAACGAACTAACACCCACTCAAGTGAAAGATCCACCGTCGGTACAGTGGAACGCCGATCCAAACAAGTTCTACTTACTAGTAATGACAGACCCTGACGCTCCAAGCAGAAGCAAACCGGACTTCCGGGAATGGCACCACTGGCTTGTGGGTAACATTCCCGGATTGGATGTGGGAAAAGGCGAACATCTATCGGAATACATCGGCTCAGCACCACCCGAAGGTACAGGTTTACATCGATACGTTCTTCTTGTATATGAGCAACAGGGTCAAATTACATTCGACGAGCCGAGGTTAACTAACACGTCGGCTAATGGAAGAGAAAAGTTTTCGATTAGGAAATTAGCGCAGAAGTATAATCTTGGAGAACCAATTGCTGGAAATTTTTACCAGGCTAAATGGGACGATTATGTACCGATTGTGTACAAGCAACTGGGAGGTTGACAAATATCACCATTGCACTGTAACTACGTATACACTGTTTATAATGCACCAATAAACAGGTTCCTCCAAAATCATAGGGTCTTTATAACGGAAGGAAGTTTCCGCGTGATTTTCTTTGATTTTGAAATCGTGTAACAATTTTCCACTCCTTCATTGAATTTAATTTTTTATTCAATGACTCCTTACAAGACCAGGTAGGGCCAACAGCACTGTTGTTCACCCTCCACTTGTTTGTCCAATAGTAGATCTAGTCAGTTGCCTTGAGGCCGATTTATAATAACGCCTGCCGATGACCTCGCATTTTCTTAGAATCCCTCGCAAAATATATAATACACATGTGGCGGACGAGAACAAAAAGACCACCTCCTACCACCTGCATTTTTAAATTAAATTTGGAAGAAAACCACCTGCGAAACCAAACCATCCCTGTCAAATGACTACCCCGTAAATTTACAGAAGGAAAATGACCTACAACGTTAACGAACTGAGCCCATCGACGCTGCAGGAAACAAAGAAACTGTATTTAGAGACGTCACTCACCTAAATACCCAACAAATAGTACTGGACCTAAAAGTAAAGCATGAGCCACCCCCAATGTTACAGTGAATTATCGAAAAGCGGGCACATAACTAAATTCACCCTCTTGACCTTGAAGACCACGGAATGTATAAAACTAGTCACCTCCTATCTAAAGAAGATCACTAGTCAGTTTATAACAAAAAAATGCCACGTGTAAATAAATACACCATAGAATAATATACAGATCTGGTAGTCACAATCAATCGGAGCCTCGTGTGTGTTGGGGAGGCCGAAATCGCTCTAAAATAAACGCAAATGACTAACATGCCAACTTCGGGAGAGGACCGTGTTAATATTGGACGAAAAGTTTCGCCCACTTTCGTAATAACATGTGGTGCGTTTTCACGCTCATGCAATTTGCGCAAATTGACTTGTGCATGCCAATTTGTGCAAGTAAATTGGTGCATGAATTTTCCGAGGTAACGGCTCGACGGATTTTGTTCAAATTTTGGATGTGCGTATTAGGCATACTGAAACGAAAAATAACCAGAGGGATTTTTGAAAAAAAATTTTGGAGCGCCGCAACGGCATCGAATTTTTTTTTTCAAATAGTAACCTAAAATTTTTATTAAGTTATTCGAAAGGCCTTATTTTTCTGTGTACAACCTACAAATGTTGTGCCAGGCGTTATTACAAAAAAAAACTGAGAAAAAAAATGTCAAAATTAAAAAACTAAAAAAAATTTTTCGCCAAAACAGTTACTATGATTTCGTTAAAATTTTGCGAATGTACATTAGGCATTATAAATGATGTACTGTCAAAATTTTTTTTTAATATCTAAGTTTTTAGCGCCGTGACGTCATACAACTTTTTTTTCAATGAGTGATAAGCGATTGCAGAAGTTCGTTCGTTGCATTCTTTTTGTTTTTAATCCAAAGAACTAAGGTAAAATATCAATACCTATGTTAAAATATCGGTGTATGTACCTGCATGTATATATACAGTGTGTCCCAGATCGGGTGGGATTGCATGGGTAACTTTGTTATTATTAAGGATAGAGAATTGGTTAAATGGGCAATGTTTTGCAGTTTTAGATGCTTATTTAAAATTTCGTTTTGGAAATTCAAAATGTCGCATAGCTTCGAGGTAAATTCAAAAAAACTCAAATTGGTCATTTCCTTGAATGTCTTATATCATCGAAAGTATAAGAGATATAAAAAAAAGTTTTATATAAAAGTTACTGTCTTTGATACGTTTAATTTAGAATTGATGTCAACAAAAAAATTCAAGATGGCCACTTTTGAGGAACATTTACCAACTTCCTAAAGTTAAATAGGCGCCATATGGGATTTTTAGATTACTTGATAGATTTTTAAATTCTCTTTTCAACGAGCTATTATAACATAAGATTGAAAATAAGATACCAGTTATATCAACGGTTTTTGTATTTTAATCAAGTAGTCTGTGACGAATAAAAAAAACAAAACAAAATCTATTCGAGGCAACAAAACAATGAAAATAATTACACCAGATGTTTAAAATACTGGTCATTATTAGTGAAACACACTTCAAGACAGTTTAGTTTAGACAAGACCCATCTATAATAACATCTGCACCAGACCGCCGCCAAAGATGAATAGGTCATTGACAACTTAGGGCCGGTTGCATAAAACCCGTTTGACCGCAGGTTGGACTTCAACCGACTGTTGAGAGAGATTTTGCGTTGCATAAAGGTTAACCGCGGGTTCAACCGGCGGTTGAACCGGCGAAATTTCGACCGGCGGAAATCCACTGGTAGAGCCGCTTCAACCGACGGTTGACGGCCCAGTCGTTCCGTTCGCAAGAACTAAAATAACTTGAAAACCATCCTTTTTGCTCATATTTGCGCTTTTATTACTTCTTGTGATGTGGTGATGTACTTGTGATTTTCCATCATCGTTTTGAAGATGGAAAAGAGAGATTTTTGTGGACAGAAAGTGATTCCGAGGAAGAAGACAGAGGACGGAGATGCAGATTCCTGTGGGCAAAAAACCCTTCATCCGAGTATGAAGAGCATGTGGGGGCAGGCCCAGCACCTAGAAATGAGTTGTGAACATTATAGGTTAATTGTAGGGTTCAGGTTTTCTTCTTAATTTTTATTTCAATTTGGATACCATCAGAAATCAAAACCTTTGTAACCCACAATCCAAAGAATTAAAGGTACCGCAGTAATTTGTTACAATATAACACCCAATCTTGAATGCAAGCGATCATATTTATTGGAGGGGGAAGGATAAGAAGTTGTTCCTTTCAATTTAAGGAGACTACATGAAAGAGGACAACGTTTATTAGTTTTACGCCTTGTCAAATATCCTATAGTACATGGACTGCTAATTGTAACTAAAATATGGTCAAGGACATTGCCTGGGTATGTGCGTTTCAGGGTAAACGAGTCTGTCCGAAGTTGTCCGATTAGACACGATTTGAGACTGTCAACCTATAAATTAACAAACGTCAATTAATTAATCGCCTAGATATGCCAAAAAAGCAAACCTATTCTTATTTGTGGACGTATAGAAGATAATCATAAGTATTTAAAGCTTCCCGTGCTACGCGGTTACTATAAAAGCTACTCTTTACGCGATCCTAGTGGTGTTCATACGACTTTAGTTTACCCTGAGATTCACATACCCACATAGATATATAAATACCTAGATACAGCCATCCTTAACAAACGTACCTCGGTTTTTAAAAAACATATCAAAGAAATTTGTACATCTCTCCATTACTTTCTAACCAAGATGAAACATGTTCTATCTCTTTTTATTGCATTAACCACTATGTCGTACGCGAATCGGTCGCTTAAAACAAACTTAGCGCGTCCCATAAGTCATGTGACAGTTGACACATTTCACGATAGCGCGAAATCCAATCTAACTAAAAATATTCGCCCTAAACATGATGGGCGGTTTTTTCACTAAATATTATGTAATTATTGCGTTATCAATTGAATACGAATAACATTAGTGCTTGCCATAATGATAGACGCGTCCATAATTGTTATTCCTGAAATAGTTTTATTACATCGAACTACGCCATTCAAATTTGGGATAATGTTTACCCTGTTTGGCATGATGTGCTGCAGTGAATTCATTGCTGGCTTGCAGAATATCAAAAAAACCGTAAGTAAGTAAAGTTTATGTTCAACATTTTAATTTTAATTGCATGGTTTTAGGCGTAATGGTAAAGGAAATTGTTGCGACAGGAAGTGAATTCGTTTCCAATTATCATTTTGGCCTATATGATGTTGATGCAGTGCGTTTGTATCATGATCACAAAGAAGGATCCGTCCAATATTCTTAGGGAAACGAGTTTTTAGACTGTGTGTGCGTGCAATATCAAATTTTGGTCGCTACGCGTCTTGCCTACCTTTCGGCATATGTCCATTCGGTGGGGTTTCTTTTTGAAATTATAGTGCTAATTGTAGTAAGTAAGCTACACGTGTACATTTATTTAAAATAAATACAACACCTTAACAATGATATCCAATTGGTGATAATACTCATTTAGTGAACATTCATTACGTTTGTAAAAGCTCACAATCCGAATCATCGTCAGATGAAATTGACAAATTCGAATCATCACTGTCATTATTAACACTTATTATAAAGTGCAGAAACATCAACCAATATAACTTCTCTTTTAAATTAATCACTTTCCACATGTTCACACACTTTCTTCCAGTTGTCAGCTGTAATTTTTTCAAATTCTTCATTTGCCAGCTTTATAAGTAACATCTTCCATTTTAAATGTAACATTTCTTGCTGCTATGCGATTTAAATAAATAAAAAGGCGGTTTATTTATGTTGTAAAGTCTCAAATCTGATAATTTTCTGTGTGATTTGTGCTAACAATTTGATTGACAGTTATAATAAATAATGCGAATCTTGTCTTCCATGCTCAGGGTACCTCTATAAAGGATAGCGCTATACGTAATTAATGTGCCGAAAGTGATGGTAATAGATGGTACGTCCTTTTGAACTATGTTGGGGTATGGCTGTATCTATGTATTTATATATCTATGTTTGTATTAAAGTCACTAGATATAGAAAGTACGGCAATCATCCGCCATTTTTGGGCAAATTTGCTGCCAACTTAAAAAAATTGACAAATAAAATCTGAATAGCTGTCATTTTTTATAACCTAACTTCATAGTACTGTCATGTTTTATAAAAATATATACAGATATCTCCAAACAGGTGGAACAATCCCTAACATTAAAGTTACTAAAATCTGGTAACTTCCGCCATTTTTGGGCAAAAATCATGCGTTCTCTCTCTAACACACGAGCCCAATGGATTGCGGTACTTTCTATATTTAGTGACTTTAACATACCCACGACTACAGTGCCCTCTATCCGTGACCAACAATTTTGTATTGAAAGCATAGGGCTAATAGCAG